ATCTTTTTTTTTCTTTTTTAACAAAAGAAAGAAACACCAGGTGCTTTTTTCCCTTTGTTGGTTGTTGGATTTTAATTTTTTTTTTTCCTGGGGATAAAAAAAAAAGGTGGGATTTTAAATCTTCGGGGAACTACCCTTCATTTAAAAAAAAAAAAAAAAAGAAAAAAAAAAAAAAAAAAAGACCCACAGAAAACTTGCAGTTGTCCCTAGATCTGTTACAACGTTCTTGGTCATCTCCAAAGAGACAATTTGTTATACCCATTGCCTGAAAAAAAAAGCAACAAAAAAAAGCAAAGAAACAAAACGGAAAAAAAAATCTACTTAGTTGTCTTTGTGTCTTTAAAGATTGGGGATAACCCAAGATTGGGGATAAAGTTCTGCTAAGATGGGGATAACCTTCTACTAAGATGGGGATAACGTTCTGCTAAGATGGGGATAACATTCTACTAAGCATGGCTGTTACACTTGTATATATATATTGAGCCTTGACAGGCCTATGATGTAAAACAATTGTATTGATTGTGGTTTAACTCTTTTTTTTTTTTGCTTAATTTTTACAATTACATTCAGCTGTTAGATAAACAGGAAAAATAGTTCGCTGGCTAGTTCTACTCATTTATGTTAGCTTTAATGCACATTTTTAAAAGAACCACGGTCTTGTTTTAACTACCTGCTAGATATAAGTAATACAGAGGTGCTGGCATGCTTTACAGTACCTAGTCTGATACAGTTTTTTGTCTTGTACTATAACATAAATCCAGTCATGCACTTTTTCGTACACTACAAGGGGATGTGTAATAATATCCATGCTTTTTTTTTCCTTAAACTATTGCCATATTTTCAGTAAGTGTCTTTAAAAAAATACACTTAGATAAAAGTGGTCTGGTCAGTATGAGGGCATGAATGCCAAACAAAGAGTATTAGCGTTTAGTGTTAATTACAAAAGTGCCAACTTTGCACACGTTTTGAAAAAAAGAAAATGTACTTGCTTATTCACCATAACCACAGTTGGAGTTTTTGGACTAGCGAAAAAAGAAAGAAACACCAGGGGTGAGAGAAGGGGTAAAGTGAAACACAGAATTCTTGGTGCTTTTTTCAAGTGCCAATTATTATTAGAAAAATAGTGCATCCTTATTCCTTGTATACTACATTACATAGAAGAAAAAAAAAACAGCAACAAAAATTGTATCATCTGAATCAGTGAAAATTTTTCTTTGATTGAACATGGATAGTATTTTGGGATGGGGATGCTGATACTACTAGTTGCGGAACAAAGATAGATATTTGCCTGCTCCTTACTTTGGCCTGGATTTTGCGGTGTTTTTTTTAAAAAAAAAGAACAGGGAAATAATATTAATAATTCCATTGTTCTGTAAAGTCGACTTATTTGCAATGGAAAGTGCTGTAGTATGATTAAGGCATGTTTTGTAGAAGCAATCAAAAAAAAATTAATGGCAGAAGCACTTAGAAGCTCTGAAAACATATGCTGGACTTTTTATTGGGTAACTTCCCTTTGGTTAAAATAGAGGCCAGAGAAAGGATCTCTAGTTTTGCTAATGTTTTGTTTTCCACCCTTATGGTTTGTTAGAAAAGAATGAAAGTTGGAGAGGGAGCGGGAGAAAGGAGCAAGCAATTGAGAAAGGGAGAAGGAGAGGCTGTGCTCTGAATCTCTTTTGTTTCCGGTGTTTACACATGTTGCTCGAGCTGGTAAACCACACTGGCAGCCTAAGTCACCACAACATACTGACTGAATGATGATATTTACTTAAGTTCAGCCTACAGCCAAAACCATTAGGGTGTGTGTTGTAGACGGTTTTTTTCCTTATTAAAAAAAAAAAAAAGGTAGAAAAAGAAAAAAGGGATATTTCAGCATACAATACAGTACGTTCAGTGAGAATGTGTTCCTTTTCTGTATGTGCTGACCCAAAACATTTTTTTTAGCCAAGAGTTAGAAATGCTCCTTTGTTTCAGCTTCTCATTGTTTTGTTTATTGTGCATTTTGATCATTTTTTTCCTTTATGTTCAGTTCAGTAGTTACTCCTGTTACATTTTCTAGAAGAAACTACCTATATAGATTTCCTCTTTTTTGGATTTATTATGCATTTCAGTATTCTCTTCTCCAAAATTAAGAGTCAATAGCTAATAAATAATTGTTTCCAGCTGTAGAAAATAGGAGAAAAAAAAATAAGAATATCTCACTATATTCCCTTAGAGTACAAGCTTCTGATCACTTTTTGACTCTTTACACTGATGAAATTGTTGGTCAATCCCACAGAAACTATAAGGAAAGCTTACTTTCTCATTTAACAGAAAAGAGTTTATAGCAAAAAGCTAGGCAGTTCACTGTATTTTTTTTCTTTCATTTTTTTTTTCCCTTAAAGTTTCAAGTAGTTTGCTTTGTAAAATCGAGCAGAGAGATTTGCTTTGGTTTATGTTGTGGAAGCTGGGTGTGTTTGTGAGACAAGGAAATTAGAACAGTAAAGGTGCATTCTTCTGAAATACATGGGCCTTTGTAGTGTTATCTCTACTGCACTCCTGTCCCTCCTCCAAAGCCATTAGGCAGAATGGAAAGTATAAAAAACAAAACAACAGAAACTGAGTGATATCTACAGGAAAAAAAAAAAAAAAAAAGGTAACACTGTTTTGAAGTATGTATGGTATAAATAAATATCTTTTTAAATGAAAAACACATTTGAGGTATATAAATAATTCTTCACTGAATGAATCACTGTCCTGCATTCCCATTTTACTCTGTTTCAGTTAAAGGTCAAATGGTTTTGGTAAACTTTTTGGAAACTTAAACATCATCAGCAGATAAATTCAGCAGATGAATTACATAGAAAAAATCTGTTTATTGCACAAAATGAAATAGTACATTATAAAAACTAAAGAAGCAGGGACAATCCTCCAAAAAAAAAATGTTAGAAGCTCTGCAATCCTCCTCTCATGGCATCCTGAACTTCATTTGGACTATGCTTAAACTCTGTAGGAAATACCCTAAAAAGTAAGAAAAGCTTATTATGGGCAGATTATTGCCCATTTCTAATTGTAGAAAAAAAGGGAAACCATCTAATTTCTTCAGTACTCACAATATTAATGTCAGAACATTCTGGTTTTAGAATTACACACGTAGTTTCATTGAATTCAATGGTGTTTCCCACCTTCATAGTTACCATACTTTTCTCTGCATTTATGAGAATTGATCCTGTGATGGGATTTGTATCACTTGAAAATTTTTGAAAAACCCCCCCAAACAGGGCTATATGTAAGAAATTCGATTTTAATGACAAAAAGCAACACACTAGCCAGCTTCTCTCAGTCATCTCCGCAGTGACTCAGAATGCAGTAAGCAGAAAGACTGAATCTTTCATTTCTTCAGTGCAGGGCATGGCTGTAAGGCTGTGGTGGCAAGAAAAATGTTGTACAGTTGCTTATGTGGTCATAAGCCTATGGCTGACCCTCTGTTTCCAAACCTGTCAGTCTGTGCCCTTTCATAGCAGTTAGACTGATTCTAGGGAAGAGGAGGCTTGCAGAGACTCACGGTGTTTGCTTCTCCAATTTGGTGCAGTAGACAGACTTCCAAAGTCAATTTACCATTTTGTTCATTCAGGATAGATTTTTTTTTTTTTCTGTAGATATCAAACAGGCTTTGTCCGCACTGCATACTGCTTCTCCTTTAGATTTACTGGTTTGGAGGTTGTTTAGCCTTTTTCTTTCCTTTGGAGAGGTGTTTTTTTTTTTTTTTTTTTTTTGGAGGGGGAAAGTGTGTGATATCAGTTAAACACTAGGTTTCTTCTGCAAACTTGTGCTTAACAGTTTGGAAGGAAGATGACAAAATCAAAGCACAAGAGTGCAAAACCTGAAGTGAGCCGTAATATCACTTGTGCCCCTTCTCATTGCTTGTGTCTTGGACAGATCGCATCACCGCTTCATGTGCTGCATCTGTTAAAAAATGGCTAGTAATAATATGATCGTACCCCAGGAGGCTGTTGCTGTGAGAACTAATTAGCTGATCTTTGTAAAAAGCCAATTTAGTCATAAGTATTTCTGCAAACCTTACAATATTTAGTCCATTTTTCTAGCTCAACCACATAGACATAATTTCTGAAACATTAACGTTATCTGCAGTTTCACAGAAGAGTTTTTAATGCAAAAGTCAGCCAACTCTTAACTGTAACTTGCACCGTGGTGCCACTGTAGTATAGCACACAAAGTGTGAGCATTCAGTCACTGAGACACAGTTGAATTTGACAAAATGTGGAAGGTATATCTGAAAGGTAGAAAGCCTGTTAATACTTAACGCTTTGCTCTAAAAGATCTTCCTGTGGCTGTTCATGACTCAGCTCATAAAATTTGTCCTTTTCCGAGGTATCTGTAGATACATTAGACAGCAAAAAAAATGTATTCTGCATTTTCTGTGAGTAAACCTCAGTGTATTTTCCATCCTTTCTTTTTTTTCTGTTTTTCTTCCCTCCTTTCTTTCTTTTTCTCTCTTTCTCTCCCTCTTTCTCCATCCCTCTCTTTCACTCCCTCTCTCCCTATTCCGTGGGTCTGTAGGCTTTCCTCCACCTCCCCAAAAGTGAACTGCTTAGGAAAACAAACTAAGTCAGGTCCTAAAGAGTAGACTAGCTGCCTGGGAAGGTCAGCATCTCACTGATGGGGTCCAGTGCAGCTCACACTGCTGCAGGAAGAGGGACTTCTTCTCTCCTCAAGTTTTCCCCGAGTTTTAGTCTTCTCACTTAATTAACACAGTTAAGGATCTAGCAGGGCTAATTAGACAGGCTAGGAATGTGCCGAAGCAACAAGACAAAGAGCTGTGTGAGTATCTGGAACAGGGAAATCTCAGAAACATAATGAATCAGGGCTTGATCTGCTCCAAAGATAGGAACATTTACATGACCAGAGATTTAGTGCCAAAAATGTTTCTTTCAGTAAGTTTGGCATTTTGTAATG